ACTGTTCAACATATTCACAAATGACTTGGAAAAGGGGGTAAACAGTGAGGTGGCAAAATGTGCAGATGATACAAAACTACTCAAGATAGTTAAGTCCCAGGCAAACTGTGAAGAGCTACAAAAGGATCTCATAAAACTGGGTGATCGGGCAACAAAATGGCAGATGAAATTCCGTGTTGATAAATGCAAAGTAATGCACATTGGAAAACAATCTCAACTGTACATATATAATAATGGGGTCTAAATTAGCTGTTACCACTCAAGAAAGATCTTGGAGTCCTTGTGGATAGTTCTCTGAAAACATCAACTCAATGTGCACCAAGAGTCAAAAAAGCTAATAATGTTGGGAATCATTAGGAAAGGGATAGATAAGATATTTTCTATCATATTGCTTCTATACAATTCTATTGTTAGGCCATATCTTGAATACTGTGTGCAGATCTGGTTGCCCCATCTGAAAAAAAAATTGGAATTGGGGGAAAAAATATATTGAAATACAGAAAAGGGCAACAAAAATGATTAGGAGTATGGAACGACTTCCATATGAGGAGAAATTAACACTACTGGGACTTTTCAGCTTGGAAAGGAGATGACTAAGGGGGGATATGATAGACGTCTATAAAATCATGACTGGTATAGAGAAAGTAAATAAGGAAATGTTATTTACTCCTCATAACACAAGAACTAGGGGGTCACCAAGTGAAATTAATAGGCAGCAGGTTTAAAAAAACAAACAAAAGTAAGTATTTCTTCACACAAATGCACAGTCAACCTGTAAAACATTTTGCTAGAGGATGTTGTGGAGGGCAAGACTATAATAAGGTTAAAAAAAAACCTAGATAAATTCATGTAGGATAGGTCCATCAATAGCTACTAGCCAGGATGGGCAGGGATGCAAAACCATGTTGTTTGCCAGAAGCTGGGAATGGGCAAAAGGGGATGGATCACTTGATGATTACCTGTTCTGTTCATGCCCTCTGACGCACCAGGCGTTGGCTATGTCAGAAGACCAGATACTGGGGGTCACCCTCAGCTGAAAGGACTTCGTTAAGTCAGGGGCTCCAATGCCAGACCCCCTGTGAAAGTAAGTGGAGTGGGGATCCTGCTTGTGGCATTTTCCTTAATTAATGAATGTTGGGAGACTTCCCACCCTTCATTAAAAGTTTCTTTTCTACACTCAGACTCTGTGCTTGCGAGTGGCGAAAACCAGGAGTGGTGTGTAATTTTCCCAGGTTACAGGGTGGGGGCTTGAGCCAGTTCTGTGTTGTATTGTTGAAAAGGAACCCCTAGATATTGAACCCCGCCCTATCTGCTGCTGGTTCCACCAGGTCCTGTGTTGTTTAACAAATAAACTGAGCTGGAAAGGGGGATGAACAGTTAGGTAAAAAAAACTTTAAAAAAAAAAAAAAAAGAGGACACAGTTATTTAAAGTAGTCAGGACCAGAGCAGACTGTGAGGAACTTCAGAAAGAGATTTAAACAAGCTAGAGGGACAGGCATCATAACAGCAAACTATGCACATTTGCACAACACACGAATAATGCAACTGAAGGGGGGAAAAAAATCTGGTCTGATCCAGTACGAAAAATCCTAAATTTCCTATGCTGATTCTAGACTACCTTCAGTTTCCAACTGCTTTAAAGGCATAGGCCAATGTACAATGCATTACAGAACTACAACCTACAAGCAACTAAGCTTTCCATGGTTAAGATGTCTAAATGATATTCACATCAAATATGGCCAGTTTACAAGGTGGGGGGGAAGATGGTTTTCTGGCAGCAAATAAGGGATTTTTCTGAAGAGACACCAAGCCAAATTCTGTCCTCATTTACTATGCCCATCCCCTCGTCTTCATATTTTGCTCTTAGCTATGACTGTGTCACCCACCCCACTTTTATCAAGTGGGGTGGCAGTGTGCAGAGAGCAAAAATTTTGCCGGATAGTATTGATTTGGAAAATAGCCTCTGTTTGCTTTTAAGAAGAACAAAGTTAGGCAATTACAATCCAAAGAGTTCAAATATTTTATTCACAACATAATGTAAAACAAATATAAAATGTAACATTTTTATGCACACTTTTGACATGCTGCCAGACAGACAACACATTGAAACACAAGTTAGGCATCAAGTGACAGGTGAGGCACATTCCAAACCCTCAGTCAGTTCTTTGAGACATGCAAAATCCTCTCATATAAAATAACCCACAGAAGAAGAGATCAAGCAAAAAATACTGCAATTATGAATACCCCCCCAATTTTTCTGGATCCAAACATGAGATGCATTTGCAAGTTCCAGAAATGAAAGTATGGCATAGCATGGATAGTAATTAGGGTTAACAGAAACTAGTTCTACCCGCTGCTGCTCCCCACAACCCCATATATGGTCTACATGAAAAGTAAGTTTAGAAAAAGGTTAATGTTTATAATACTGACAAGAAAATAAAACTGCAGAGTTCCAGGTATTACATTTTAACATTGTTTTGAAGGTTACAGTAGAGCATCAATTTAGAGCAGATCTGTCTCACTTTAATAATCCAATGACCAATTTCATGTCTCCCAAAAAGTAGGCTATTGAATCAAAAGGAAAAAATTATCATAGATCAAAGCTATTGGAGTATCAACTGCAAACTATGCTTTCTCTTGAGACTGCAAATATTTATTCACAACAGATCAAGTTAGAACTGTCTGAAAATGGGAGGAGATACTGCAGTGATATCTGGATCATTTCTTAGAAATCAGGACAAGGACTCTACATGTTATAGAAGAAAAAGAAAAAAAAATAAGTGTGTGGGGGAAGGAGGGAAAATGACTTGTTGGAACATAGATGGGCAAATCCTTATCAGATGAAAGGCAGATCCTTTCACGGACATCTTGAATCTCTCACAAAATGGGTTGGTTGTATTGAGTTTCATATAAAATACAGATCTTGTAACATTTTGCCAATAGACCCCAGTTTTTAAACATTTTGAAAAAGGTGGATCCAATATGTTTGATTTAAAATGGTCTGGAGAACAAACGGTCAAATAAAGAACTGATATAAGTAAATGGAGTTGCACCCTCTGAGAGTCTATACCCACCCTAATCTATCAAAACTAACTATTTTTAGAATGGTACAGTACACAAATTTTCAGCATCTAGAATTCATTGAATCCGTTGTCTGTTACTAGAAATCTCTAAGTTTTGACAGTAAATGTTAGACACAAATATCTATTAAAAATAGAAATATTAGATAACTGTTGGACCCCAGTTATAAAATACATAATAAAATAGGCACTTTAACTTTGTAGTCTTTCCATAGATAACATAAAATGGATGTTTCAAAGTTTAAGAGTTTTTGTGCAAAAATTCTTAAATAGAATGCAGTTTTTTAAAAAATAAATAAATAAATAAATAAAATCCACAACAAAAACCCAGTCTTGCAGAAATAATTTCCCCCACAGAGAGAACAGTTATCAACAAAGGTCATCTTTAGTACGTCACAGAATAAATATTGCACACACATTGGAGTAGTCCTGCTGTAATTTGCCATTTTAAAAAAAAAGTTGTTCTTAGAAATTCACAATTTGAGGATTATGAAAAGCACTTCAAAGCACAAGGGAAAAAAACTGGTACATCCTGTAGTAATAAGGTGTGAACATACAAACAGCTCTAAGCACCAAAAGCACATGAAACAAATGCTTTCAGTCAGCTTGCACAGCTTTGTGTCTTTGAAGAGTCAATCAGCTATTGCTTTATATTAAACAAAATAAATCAAAAACATTATCTCATTTTAAAGACACAGATCTAGAAATGAAATCATTAGGTTTTTTAATAGCTGGCTTTACCTCCAGATCCTATTTTGGCAGTTTTAATGAGCACAGACTTTACAGAAAAAAATTACCAAGTCCAGACGGACTATAAAGTCAAATGTATGACAGTGTTGCTCAAGCACCTCTTTTTTCTTTTACATTAGACATGCTAAATCAGATGTATATATTTGATGCTACTTCCATTAACATGTGCACGCCTTTCTGTTTGCAACCCACTAAATAAAATTGGAACTTATGATGCAGGAAGTCTAGTCTGTTGCCCTGGGAAGTAAGCAGATATCACAGGTGGATTTCCTTGCTTGGGTAACATAGCTCTTGATAACACTGAAAAAATTTTAAAAAAAATTCAACCAGGTGTTGCACTCTTTGTAAGGTGGTTAAATGTATATACAAACAATTATTCATATTAAAATTGTTTTGAAAAGGTAGTTAAGTTCAGCATATAGTAAGCTTCCTCCCCTGCTATCCTCCCCCTCCCCTCAAAAAAAATCATTTGGTCTCTGATTCAACCACATACACAAGCAGATAATCAACTTTAAGTATGTGAGTAATCCCACTGAAGTCAACAGGGCTATTCACGTGCTTAAAAAGTTAGGTGCCTGCTTAAGTATTTTGCTGAATCAGGACCTCATACTACAAACTTTCAGATTTGGCCAATAATATACTTTAAACTGTTCTATTCTAATAACATAAATTTGCCGAAGAGTAGAAATGGGCCTGAACCAAAACTCCAAAATGCTGTTTCTATTCCTCTAGACTGAGGAAGTTCAGATCAGAACTTAGCAGTTCAGGTCCATCTCTAGAAGTAACTCCACCAGACATTCGTATTGTCTCCATTAAAATACTACTGTGTGTCAAACAGCGAAACCTGACCTACCTCAGTATTCCCCTACACATCGAACAGGAAACAACTGAGGTATCTTAAGATATCATGCTACATCAAATAGTGACTATATAAATGGTGACCACTGAAAAATAGGGTATTACTACTAAACATTTACATTATGGTAGCACCCAACAGCCCTGAACTGCTGGCTAATTGGGTCAAACAAACAAGTCATCTTTCAAACAGTTGCACTCAATCAGATCATTTACCTGTGTTTGCTACAGACAAAGGTTTTAGTCCTCTCAAAGGCAAGTTGCCATCTTTCTTCAAATATTTCATGTCTAAACCAAGTGGCTCACTGAAATATCAAAATGTGTTCAGGGGAAAAAGTTATTCAAAAGGGAGCAAGCTGCCTGTAATTAATATCCTTTTTAAATTATATGCTCTCTAATGCCACCCCTCCTCCTCCCCAGTTTTCTAGTTATTAGCCTTTATTCTTAAAATGTGCAGAAGTAATACACTACAATGTATTCCTGATAGCTGTATTTTTATTTATTTGGTTAGGAGAAGAGGCACAAAGTAAATGCACAGTTCAACCAACTTCAGTTGCAAAACAGTGGACTGTAAACAATAGGAGTTATACAGTTCATTACTTTCATTCTGCAGCTACTAAACATTGCATCTATTTGGATTCTGACTAGGAATCCTAAAAAGAATGATTTCTTAACCTAAAACAAACAGAGAGCTAACAGCACCCATCACCATTTACAGGCTATGGCTAGTAACACAAGGCTCACAGTCAGGATACCTTTGAAAATGACAAAATTCTGTTACTATGTACAAAGAGGTCATTGGCATTAATAATAAAATCAAATTATCTATCAATTTTAGATAAACAGTAAAGTTACTAAACAAAATTTATAAAAGAAGTAAATTGCTTGGGGATGGGGGGAAGCCGATTAAAAATCCAGAGCAGTTTTACCAAATACCTAACACACATTTAAATTTATTTCCATTGTCACAAGCTTGGATCATTCAGAATTTTTCCCTCACCCTCTAAAATACCATCTAACCACTCTTACCACACAAAAAACCACAACATATTTTTTCTGACAATTAAGACTTACGTTAGGGTGTGGTGGTAAAATGCACACCATCTTGATAGTCACAAAATGGGGAAATATTTGGAATTTACAGTACAGGTGGAAGTACTTTTTGCAGCAGAAAGGAGATAAATTTCCTGTGTCTGACTCTATGTCCAACAATCCTCATAGTGGAATATTATAGGCAATGAACTGAACTAATGAGCTAAAAATAAATGTAACGGATTCATGTAAAACTTGAGACATTTGTAACTGAGAAGGGGAAAAAATAAAAACTGAGGCACCCACACCATCCAGCACTTCACCACAAGATGAATCACTTGAAGCATTCAAAACCAGCCAACCAACACTGACGTAACCCTTCTGCCATTGAACTCAGTGGTAAAACTCCCACTGAGTTCAATGGGAACAGAATTAGGACAATGTCAAGTGCCTTTGAAAAATCCCACCCTGAATCTCTATTTTTGTAGAGCCTTGAAAATGTGCACACAGAGGATCAAGTTGGCTGCCTTATATGGCATGTACTCTTTCTGCAAAAGGTATCAGTGTTCCTCTATTTTAATGAGCTGTGATATGGTGCTGGAGTGAAAAGTGTTGCCATAAAACCTTCTATTATGCAAATTCTGATGAAGGAAGGAATTAATTTAAATATTTTCCCCCCTTTATACTGCAGGATAAGAGGAACAAAGAAAAAAATTACTTGGAAAAATTAGTGTAAAAGCTCTTCTCACATCCTCAAAGTGTCTCTCTCTCTCTCTCTCTTTGAAGCTTGGGTTTAGGTCAGAATAATGGCTATAATCTTTTGAAACCAAATGAAAAAAATCATTTACTGTGGAGATGAATATCAGCTCTATTCTTGCCTCACAAAAAGTACAATACTGGAGTTCAATAAATAATATACACTGCTAAAATATTCTGGCTGATGTTGCAGCCATTAGGTTCTTGCTTCCATTTTCTCTTCTCTTTCCAGAAAGCGTTTTTGTTTCGTTTTTCTTGGTAGAGTCTTCTATTTAGCTCCAAGGTCTTGCCACCATTAGAGGAGGTGGTGGAAACAGTGGACACTGAGCAGTTAGGTTCCACAGCCCACATCTCAGACAAGCAGCACAGTCCCCTATATCCTCCTCCTGTGGCTTAGCTGGGGATTTGGTTGGGCAACAGCAAGTGTGCTGGACTCTACCTTCACAGAACTATAAGGAGGCTTCACTTTACTTTGGAAATAGTGTGCTATCTGCCTCCAAGCCAGACAATTAACTTTCTTGAAAAGTGTTTCTAGAGGCAAAATACTTTCTAACCTTATCTTTACTTTCTTTGCTCTTGACAGTTATATTTCCATTCATGAAGTTGTGGTGGTGTGTGAATGGGAATCCTGACTCCAAGGACAACAAACAAGCTCAGGTCAGATTAGAACTGCCCACATACCAAATCATTCTGAAGAGAATTAGAAGTTATTTGGAGAAGTGCCCAAGTAAAATCTAATTAGCAGGCAACCTTTTGAATTTAAAAAAGGCACACAGTTCCATGAGGGGTTCTCAGTGGGAGTTCCTAAATGCCAGTGTGCTTGGCCTCCCAGTAGATATCAGAGAGAAAATCCACTGCCAGGATTGTTGGACCTGAAGAGGGGGGTTAAACAAAAACAAACAAAAAAGATGAGAGACTTCTCTGCAGAGTTTAATTCTTTTCCCAGATCTTCCCTGGCACTTTTGAACATTCTCCTGGCAAACAAATGGGATGTCTCATGGATTCCTTGAAGGAAAGAATCAAGCCGCAGCCAGTATAGTGCTGCCTGAAATTTCAGACTGATGTTACTTATAACACAGGAACAATTTGACATTGGCCAAATGTGTGATTTTTTCATAAAAGCCTTTTTCCTCACACACAAAGTTAAAAGTGAAAAAGGACTTGTGTAATCTCTCTGTCTTTAGAAGTTACCATAAAATGATGTAGTTTGTTATATCACTCAGCAAAAAAACAAAAGGAAAAAAAGAAAAAAAAACAAAAAACAAAAAACCCACAACTTACACATGGCCTGAGTTTGGGGGCACTAAAGGAGTGGAGGTTGGTGGACAAGGTCTTGTCTCATGTAATGGAGTGCTGGTGGAATTTTCTGATAAGTTGATGCAAACCTATACAATTTAGAGAGTGAAAAACAAAAACATTGGAGAAGACTTGTGTGTTTAATACGGCTCCCATCACCATAGACAGCACACATTTTTCCTCTCCCAAATATAACACAATCATCATTGTACCATTAAACCATATGCTGTGATTTTTGAAGTCCCTTATTTTTTAAAAGGTCACTTGGGTAACTGCTCAGGGACATCAGGCCTAGATCTCTGCTGTACTACACTTGTTTTACGCTTGCATGACTCCATTGTCTTCCATGAAAGTACATGCCTCAAACTGATGTAGTGCAGTGAAAAGTCATGTCCACTGGCTTCTGGAGTCAGATTCTGCTTCTACTGAAGCCAATGACAAAACACTCATTGAATCCAACAGGAGCACGAGAAGGCCCCTAGTTTGTGTTCTTCAAAGGAAACTGCATCGGTGAGGGAATGCCTGAGGTACCCATTTTGGAAGAGTATAATATCTGTATTATTGAATTTATTGCTGTAAATGCAACTAGAGGCTTGGGCAATGGGCTAATTTTAATACCTCTAAAAATAAATACATTATATGAATAATTAATCTCAAGGTAACCTAAGAGTTGGGGAGATAAAGCTTTACTACGACAAGTTGGAGATCACTGCATTTTTTGAATGTTGCCTCACAATTGTCAATAGATGCTTCAAATTAAACACACATTTACATATTTTTCTTATGCTACTTTTTTTTAAAAACAGTTAAAGCTAAATTTATTGTTTTCATACTCTCCACCTATAAAGCTAATTTTTTTAAAAAAAATTCTGTTTTTCATATCCTCCAACTATGTACTAAAAGAATTTTGGCTTCAAGTCTAACTCTCCAAATGGGAGGTAGATCAAATGATACATTTTACAACTTAAAAAATAGACTACTACATGTCAAATGTTGCACTTGTAAGGCCCAATATACTGCAGCTGGCTGAGGCCAGGAACAGATTCTTTATACTATTACAAGATCTGAGATCCCAGTTCTTCTGTGGGCTATAGACATTTCTAGCTCTGATGAATTGTGAGCTACCAGACAAGAATGGATTTTGTCAGGCTTGAGCCACAGACTAGTGATAGTTTTGCTTGGGGAGGGATAGGGAGAACATTTCTTGTACCAGATTCCTTTTGTTAATTAAAAAAAAAGGCCGACTGCTTAAAAGCTGCCTAGAGATTTGGAATATAAGTAATAGTCCCTAGCAGAAATGGATTAGTGGGTAGAGTGTCGGGAGGCAGTGAAAGTTACAAGATAAAAGCCATTTATTGTACAGTTTTAGAAAAATGAAAATAATTCTTTTTCAGATATATAAATTGGGCTCATAGTTAATTTTTCCAGAGGAACAAATAAGCAAAAATAGTTAAGAAAAATGCTTCTTTTCCGTTTCCTCCAAAACAGTTTACCCAACTCTTCTCATGTAGTCTGTGGGCATAATCTGTCAAAAATGGTTAGTAATGTTTTCCTAACACATTTGTCATTGTGTTGTATTTATGACATAAGTCAAAACTGTTGGGCAGAGGGGAATACTTAGATAAGAGTATTGGCCATTTCTAAGTGTTCTATTTTTCAATATTTACATTAAGCACAGCTTCAGCTCTCTAATGCAGTTAGTGTCAAAACATTCCATGTTAACATTAGTGTTCTGCTGTGCTTTATCCAGAGGCAAATCACAATGGAGAATTAAGCTGTTAAAAGCTAGGACACTTCAGCAGAATATGTTATAGTGCAAAGGAGGTGAAAAATAAAAGTATATATGCCTGCCTGTGGATTATATCTTGCAGCACTGGTGACCGCACATGGGATATTCATTCGCAGAGGAACAGAGCCTTCACAGTTATTAGAAAGGGAAGCAGTGCTAATTGGTGGAGGCATCACAGGGACAGAGAAAGGACTGTTATAAAGTAGAAGCTGAGGCTGTAAGGGAAACAAACAAAAATAAGTGGAAGAAAAGACTGTTTAAAAGTAAAATATGACAAAAGGAAACAAGCCTCCCAAATACGCGTAAGTTGTCTTGATATTTTTGTGATAGAACTCCTTCAAAAATCTGAAGTATAGTAGGGCAGAAAGGTCAGTTTTACCCCAAACAAAAAAGAACAAACCCAAACCCTTCATCCACATACTTTTTTTAATGTTTAAGTATGTGCTAGGCAAGAAACATATTATAGGTCCACAGTACACGCTTTGTTGCCAAGCTAAATAGAAAAAGGAACACTAAGCAAATAGAAAAAAAAAAAAGTGTGACAAATGCCCATCTTTTCCCCTTACCTAAAAAAAAAAGGTGCCCACCCTTTATTAAGGTTTTCAAGGTGGAAAAGCCCCTTCCACTGTGCATTTTTTCCCCAATGGAGAGAACCAAAAGTTTTAGAAAAAAAGAGTCCCCTTCATAGTAAAATGAAAGCATGGGCCTCTTCAGATATAATGTTACGAGAGGTCAACTGAGCTTGAAAGTAGTTCCAGGACAGGGTATTTTTGAGGCCAGATAAAGGAAATGTCAGTGACCTCTCTTTTTTTAATAAAGACAATCTTGTCATTTGTAAGTTTAGTCCCAGCCTTTCACCATAACACTTTTTTCCAAGTGCTCCTTAGGTCATACTTTCACTTCTTTCAGAAGATAAAGGTGTTCAGATAGCTTTCTCTTTTGTGGTTGGTTTTCAATTAAAAATGTTTGTTAGTTAAGGAGCTTGTGTCAATCTACAGAACTTCACATTTGCTTTTATGAAATCTGGCACGCCCCTTTCCATAACTGTGTTAAGAGATTCCCATCCTACTTTTATCCCAAAAAGTAAGGGCTTCGTCTGTGTCAGAATTAAAAAGCTTTTGAAATTGATTTAGTTTCATTAGTGCAACTTTTCACTAAGAGAAGCTGCTCTGTTCAGACTTTACACCTTTGGCGCTTACATAATTTATAAGGAAGGCAACGTATCCCCTCCAACCCAAGATAGCTACAGGGCCCTTATACAGCAGAGACCCCCAATCATGCAGTACTTTGGCTGATCAGGGAATGAGCAGAAAGAAGCCCCAATTGCGGATGGAGAACACTGAATTTATTGGGTGAAAAATGGGGTGGGGGGGAGAAGAGAGAAGGTGTCAGTAATTTAAGCAACAATGTTAGCTGGAGTGAGAATGAAGGAAGAAAATTTGAAATGGGAATAAGGGGACAAAAGAATACAGATCTCTCATTCAAAAAACTTTACATTTAGTGAAAGGTTTTGCATCACCCTCCCAATAAAGAAAAGCATCTTTTAGTTGGGGGGAGAGGGACAAACACAATGAGCATTAATCAGAACCAAATGGATTAAAAATCAACTTCCTGAGTTTTAGTAGGAGAACTTTCCATCATCAGTACCACATAGGATTGTGGTAGCTTTGTTTCAGTAGTGCCAAGCTTACTACTTTGCCTAACTATATTGCATAACCCTAGCTATGCATGGAATTTTAAAGCTTACTGTTCTCTGCTGTCCTTCTTTCATGCTGCCACTTTTGCAGGTTTGGGCTCTATTCCCTCAGCTGAGAAAACGTAACTAAACACTTTCCTTCAGTTGCTCTAATGATGAATTAATAGATTGTTTCATAATTCATATTTTCCACAATAGCTCAAAATTACAATATATAAAATTCACAACAGCTCTGATGTCATGGAGCCAGACAGTAGTTTTTCCTACTTTTTTCAAAACACTACTTGGGATGAATAAATAGGGTAAGCAGGTGATTCTACATTGCTATTGTGGATTATTAAACATGGTTATCAATGAATTTCCTCTTTCTGGTCTTATTTGCTAGTATTCAGATTATCCATCCAAAACATTTAAAACACAGGCATGCCATCTCTCCATTTTCTCATATCATACCATCAAATGCACAAGCATCATGTAATCTTCTAACTCTACTGCCTAAATCAGCATGGCATTAACACAGCACAGCTTCAGCTCTACTGCAAGTGGTTTTTCCACTATCTCCATGGTGTTTGCCCACTACATATGATCAACCACCTCTGAAAAAATTAGAGGCAATTTGTCAATCTCCAAAGCTCTTTATCCAATCAGTCTTGCAGTGCAACGGGAATTTTTGAGTAGTACGTAACATGGGATTTATAGGAGGTTCACCTCAAGATTAGTACCCTCCCAGGAAACTTCCATTAAATATATATCTTTGTATTCTATCATTACATCTTGTAACTTAGCAGGTGGTAAATGCCACTGGAACTTGGAAGTGTTTTGTCCATCTTTAAAAACACAAAACAAAACACACACACACAATCTGACCAATTTAAGATCAGGCATGTTCGGAGACCAAGCACTGATTGTAAAGCTGAGTGCATGTTTTAGTTATTTGCATTTTCCCTGTACTTATATGTTATGCTGAAAAATAAACAAACTTCTATTGGCTTATCTCAAATATGAAACAATATCTGGATGAAAGGTATGAAGAGTAAGAGCTTCAATTGTTCACAGATGCTTTTCGGGTATTACATGGTGAGGCATTTTCCGGTCTCCTTTTATATATGGGCCAAAAATCTTCAAGTTTGGGTGAGGCACACATATCTATATACAGGACACCTAAATATCATGATTTTCAGAGGTGCTGAACAATGGGAGTTTCCAGCGGACTTCAACTGAGAGTTCTGGATGCTCAGCAACTCTGAAAATTCAAGCCACTGACAAATGTCCATATGTGAATTTAGGGATCCAAGTTTGAAAATGTTAGTCATAAATTTTAACTGGACTTCAGCCTTTTCTTGTGTTCTAATACTGTCTAATCTTTATTCAGCTTCCTGATTTACCAGCTTTTCACAACTTTTAGTGAATCAGTCACAAACATTATCCTTTCCCAAATCACTCTATTCATATCAGTAATTTCTCTGCCCTTAGCCAAGAACTTTAACTCTGTCTCAGATTACTCTATGGATTCAGCTGGAACCTGTGTTTAGTTTTAAAAATGTAGGGAATATTATACTAACAATGGGTTAGCTTTTACAAAGTTTCAAAACCTATTGTAATATGCCCTTAGCTTTCTTTTCTCTTCAGCAGATACATCTATCCAAGTATTATAAACATCTCTACCTCCTCTTCTTCCCCAAAGAATTAGATAACAGCATTTTTGCTCCTCAGCTTTGAATTTTAGGAGACCCTTGAGAAGAAGCTCCACTGGCTGTTTAAATTTTTTCCTCTCCCTAAGAATATTCATACTTTTCCAGTTTAGTCTAGTCAGCCTTACCTCACCGGTTTTGTTTGTTTTGTTTTAGTTTATTTGTTTGTTTTTTTTAAGGATGCACTGTTCTTACAGGTTTTCTGAAACTATGAAGTTAGACAACTTGAGTAAAATTTTGAAAAAAAAAGAGCTTACGCTCTGTTAGGAGCCAAAATTCCATTTTCAAAAGTGGGGTTTTGCTCTTAAGTTCCTTAAGCGCTCTTGAAAATTCTACCTTGTTTAAGGAACTGGTTTGCTTTCATGACATAGGTAAGAGCTGATGCCTACAGACTAACAAGTTATTTCTGTACAAGATTTAGGAAGCAAATCAAATCAGGTTTTTATAACAAACTAAAACTCCACACACTGAACAGTGTGATCCCCTGCCCCCCGCCCCCCCGCCCCCAAGACCCAAAAAGTCCTACACAGTCAAACATGACTTGTTAGACTATCATAGCATCATCTGGTGTCTCCCAACACCATCATGGAAATCTTTTGGAATTTTACTCGTCGCTAGGTTATTTTTATAGATAACTGCCAATTAAGAAAATATTTATATCACTTATTTTCAGAGGCATCATAGCGCACACACATCCTGCAAAGCATCTTAACCCATTTAGCACCATGTAGCCTAATTTTCAAGAAAGTAAATTCTTCTCAGCCAAAAAATGTTAAGTGGATAAAAGATAATTGAGCCATACAGCTGTATCGATCATCAAGAGAACAGATTGAAGAGTTTTACCCAAATCATTTTCCTGCAAATATTTTGACAGTAGTGATCTAGCTAGAGAGGTACACAGATTCATAAATTACAATTTAATTTCTTCAATTCAGACCCAGGGTGATTATAATATTGAAATCCTTAGTAAAAAGAACCCATTATGACAACTCCTGCATAGGTTGTTCGACAAAAAATTAGCTCGCTTGGCTCCTGGCCAATGAAAACCCCAGACATTTTCTTGGGTTCTGCAGCAGTGCAGTCAGTTCACTATTCCTAAAGGGATAACATAATCCCACTCTGACAGCTGTAAAATACCAAATTAAGTATGGATCTCTGTATATGGCAATCTATAGGGACTCAGTAAATTCAGAGAATCCCTAGAGTTGGGTCCCTTCACCTCCCATCTGACTGTCAGCAAGCTGCGGATGGAGAAGAATTTTAAAATGTCAGCAGAGCAAAAGAATCTGTCTCTCACTACTCTGGAAATGGAGGGGTCATGCAGATTTTAAATCCCCACTTCCTCAGAACAAATCAACAAATGAAAAAGCCAAAAAGCACTGAGGAAAATGGGGGCAACGCCTTCAAGACAGATGACCGTTGGGGCAGCTCCTAAAGGGTTTTGTTATAAATTAGAGTGATAATATTTGAGGAAGTCTCCCCAGCCACAGATTTTATTTATTTATTTATTTTTAAACAGACTCAAAAACCCTAAACCAACCAATCAACCAAACTGTCCCTTTACTAGAATTGTAAGGTGAAAACACTCTTCTGAACAGTCTGACATTAGCTAGTGGTGGGCAAAGGATATGCAGGAGAAGTTTCAGACTCGCTTGGGTGTTTGAGAAACAGACAGAGTTGGAAATTAAAATAACTCGCTCTTAGTAAAAAAAAAAAAAAAAAAAAGTGGTTGCACACAGCTGGACCACGGCTGGACACAATTTCTTTCTACAATCTGGCTCTACTGTATTGCATTTATAACAGCCACAATATTACCTTTGCCATTTAAAAGAAAATTTTATTCTTCACGAATTATGTTCACGCTGAACTCTAGAGGCAACGGTTTTTAAATGTACACATTATTTCTGAGGCAATTTAAAAGTTGGAGCCAAACTTATGTCAGCCATCTAACAAAGCACAGTGCCTCTACTATTTCAGCTGTGTACTACTCACTCATTAATGGATTTGTCAGTTGGCTGCAGAGACTGAGTAAGGGTAACCAGCCCTTAGAATTAACAAGCATATTGATTTTCTTTTTTACATTTGTAAGAAGCCATCTCCCGGATGGTCCTGAAAGAAGTAAAATGCTTGTTAACGTCCTCCTGGTCTAATTTTCCATAGTACACCACTCTATTTCATCACTGAGCCACTGGGATGCATTTTCACCTCTGTACCACCTGTCAATATCATTTTAAGATTTTTTTTCTTCTGCTTTGAATATCATCCACAGCTTCAGTTTAGTACCATCTGTTATACACCTCAAAATTCCTGAACAGCAGCTCTTTTCTTCAGACAAGTATCATTTGGATATATACACGAACACAGTAGGGGGATTTATACTTTGGAAAGCACTACACAACCTCAGACTTCATTTAACGTTTCTCCATTGACTATTTTACTTACAATTTTTAATCCTTTCTTGTTTGCATTATGAGCCAAAATGTACTGGATAGAGGCTACATATCTTTTCCTGCTGATTCTGAAGTGATAAAACATCACGAAGAAACTGCATGAAGATAACACGCTAAATTTTCTGCACTGCTGACAATTCCATTGTCCAGATGTATACCAGTAATGGACACCTTTCTGGAAAACTCCTCCTACGTCCAGCAGTATCTAAAGTTCAGCAGTCTCACAGACAGGATAATGTCTGTTTCCAATATGGCAGTACATCTGCTGAATGAAAAGGAGGCCAGCCACTTTATTATTTCCTCCTGTGTCTATTGAAGCGATATAAAAGCGTAACCATTGTATAGTTTTGATCACTTTGATAGGGGGTAACTGGTTCAGCCATATCCCTCAGGTTAAGTGTAGGAACTCGCTCTCACTCTACTAGAATCCTTCAAAATGGAAGAAATTTCACATGCGACCACTGCACATTTGGTTTTTCCTTCCCAGTCAGATCTCAACCATCACCCATGCTCACCTGAACCCCAAGGGATAGATACTGAGCACAGCTGACAAAGGTAGGTATGTGGAAAGATAGGGAGCAGAGTGGGCATAAAGCTAATACAATGGGGGGGGGGAGAGAGGGAAAATTAAAAAAAAGAGGCCAAGAAACAGCCCCCAGCATAGGTTAGCATAGTTTAAAAGCTGCTTTAAATGGCTGAAAATCAAAAGGAGCTCTATATACTCCACTCAACCCCAACAACTCCTCTTTGTGACTTAGAAGAAATCCTCAGCTGCTCCTCAGCCAGTTTACACTGGCTTTGTGCTGCTGAGACAATGCAAAACAAACAGCTACAGGCAAGGCCAAGAATCTTGCCCCAGGAGCGAGAGATGGGCATGTTTAGAACTGTGTGGCTTTGTTCAGTTTTCATTCAGATCTGACACTTACTGTAGTTTTGTGCGTATAAATAATCAAAAAGATTTCCCAACCACAGTTCAGTGTAGTACAGCACAAATACTTACCAGGCCATTCTGCAAGGCTGCTGAATTGGCGGCACTTCCAGCACATGGCATATCACTGGGACCTGATGCCCCATGCATAGATGCAATTTTATTCTCATTCAGTTGTTTATTTAGCCAGGAAATTACTACAAGGAAAAAAATGCATGAAATGAACATTCAGCTCTACATAAAATGTAACAGATTTCTGATTTGTCTCATACTCTAATATACTTGCCTGTATTTTTGTAACTGAGTACTAAAGATAGGACAATGAATTAATGCCTTAACTTTTAGGATGATGCAAGCAAAGCCAATTGAGCTAATTTCAATATACTGTAAATGGAATTGCACTACTTATACAGCATATGTATTTTCAGAAAGCCAACAGTAATCAAAATACATTGGTCACAACATCTATCATATTGTATATTAAACATGCACACAAGTTATTTACAATATTAAGTGCTGAAGTCAGGTTGACTGAAAGAAGTTGTCAGGGTTCCCTCCCCACTCTGAACTCTAGGGTACAGATGTGGGGACCCACATGAAAGACCCTCTAAGCTTATTAACTAAGCTTATTTCTACCAGCTTAGTTAAAAACTTCCCCAAGGCACAAATCCTTCTTTGTCCTTGGATGGGTACTGCTGCCACCACCAAGTGAGTTAGACAAAGATTCAGGAGAAGGACCACTTGGAGTTCCTGTTTCCCTAAAATATCCCCCCAAATCCCTTCACCCCCTTTCCTGGGGAGGCTTGAGAATAATATACCAACCAAATATGTAAACCAGAAAAAAAACAGAACTTTATAATAAAGAAAAAAAAAAGTAAAAGAAGCACCTCTATAAAATCAGGATGGAAGGTAATTTTACAGGGTAATCAGATTTAACACAGAGAGGATTAGGCAAAACTTTTTTTTTTTGGTAACTTTAAAAACACAGGGATAAATCTCCCTCTTAGCACAGGCAAAATTCACAAGCTAAAAACAAAAGATAATCTAACGTACCTTGCCTTGTTTACTTACTCTTCTTGCAATACTGAGACTCATTTTAGGAGAAAGTTTTCTGACCTGACGCTTCTCTGCTTCCCCAGAGAACACACAGACAAAGAGCACACACAAAGTCTTCCCTCCCGCCGCCCCCACCCCCCCCATTCCAGATTTGAAAGTATCTTCTTTCCCCATTGGAAAAGTGCCAACCAGGTTATTTGAGCTTCTTAACCCCTTACAGGTAAGGAGGAATTCTAGGCTACCCTTTGCTGTATGATTATGACAGAAGTCAATTAGATGAAGTTCTAGGGATTATCACCACATATAATGGGGACGCAACTGAACCCAGTCCTGCAGTGCTGAGCACTGAGTGTGAGGTGGCAAGCACCTTCAACTCCCATTGAAGTCAATGTTCTTTGTTTCCTGATACATAGGTCTTGGACGGGGTTGGAGTGGCAGAGTTGTTATTCAGCTATCATTAATGTGACTTTGACATATCTATATGATTTTTAATTGTAATACTCTCGGTTTCCCCTCCCACACAGTTATATACTGTACTACAGTATAGTCTTACAATAAAGATTTTGTACCAGATTCTGATCTCCGTTACTCTACTGACTTCAGTGGGGTTAATCCATTTTTATAGTACTTTAACAAATTAGAATTTGACTCATGCCTCAATATGCACACAGAGAAATTACATACCCACCTTTTCCAATTCAAAGATCAAACTTTGCCCTTAAAATTGGTTTCAGCTCATAACAGACTGGAGAAGTAGCAAAACTAAAATGCCCATGGAATATAAAATGTTTTGAATGAAAACCTGTGCCTTATTAGATAGTTTACATGATCATTCTAAAGGGTGCTTTTACTCTCCTTACCATTCTCATTAGTTTTCAGCAGCTGTTTGCTTTCTTCCAATTTCTGAACAGTGATGTCCAGCTGCTCTTGCAACTTCAAGACCTGGGAAGAGAATGAATTTATAGTAAATAATTCATTAATCTGAGCAATCTAGTCTTCAAAAGAAACATAAGAGAAAAAACTGTTGCCAAATGAAGAAGAATTAGACCAACACCAATAACAATGTTTCTATTCCTATATTTTCTCCCATAACAATCATGATGATACTAAGAACACACGCTGACATTTACAGGATGGGGGCGGGGAGTTAGGTTATCACTTTCTTTTTTTTTTTTTAATTTGCTTTCTGCCTTCCAGGTGATTGTGGTAAAGCTTGCATACTGTACGTAAACATTAAATATTGGCATTGCTCTGTACTTTTCCATGCAACATATATACACAGACATGGTATGATCTTTACCTCTTCCTCTTTTTGTTGAAGAACCCATTTCACATTATTAAGCTCCAATCTCTCCTTTTGAAGGGTTTGCTCTTTTTCTCCTAATATTTTTTCCTGTTGCAGTGTCACTGCATTTTTTAACTTCATCTTCTCCATTAGTTTCTTCATCTCTCCCTGGAGCTTTTTGATAATTTCATTAGCCTACCCACACCCCAAAAAAAAAAAAAAAAAGTTTGGGTGAACAACAAACTTGCCCCATAGATTAAATTTAGCAAATGCTCCTAAGTGTCTTACTTTCAGAAGTTCCTCAGAAATAGACTTCACAGTGGTTTCAAATTTTCCAATTTGAAGCTGTTTCATCTCCAGAGATTCTTCCAACTTTTTCTGAAAGATAGTTTTGTATTCATGACAGGACAATGTCAACACAGCCAAATGCTGAGATGTTGTTTAGTGGGGTTGGTGACTGCAAGACTCCAGGGATTAGTAATGGGAGAGAGTGTGCATTTTATTTCTAGGTCACCAATTGACATTAGTCCTGTTCAGTGGCAACCTTTGACAGCCTACGAAGGAGATCTGGTTAACATAGGTGCCACTTCTGTGGGTGGTACAGGGCTGGAGCACCAACGGAAAAAAATAGTGGATGCTTAGCACGCACCGGCAGGTGCCACGGATCAGCTCCTCCCCAACCCGTCCAGCACCTCCCACCCACTGAGGATCAGCTGTTCAGCAGCGGGCAGGAGGTGCGAGGGGGAAAGAGAGGGGCAGGGGCAGGAAGTGGTGTGGGGGTGGGGCCTTGGAAGAAGGGTTGGAGTGGGGGGCGGGGCCTGGAGTGGAGGGCAGGGTCGAGCACCACCCAGAAAAATCAAAAAGTCGGTGCCTCTGCTGGTTAAAAAATAAAAAAAGTCAGCTGAAGACTGTCCTGATGGACAATTCTCCACTAGTCTTCTCTCAGAAAGCACCATCTCAATCGTCATCCTTGCTGGCAGACACAGAAAGAGACCAGAGGCTGCACTTGCAAGGAAGACCTGGTGAAGAAGGCTCACTTTAGAGTAGATCTTCCATCTCAATGTTAAATGTACGCGAGCAGGGCAGCATGGGGAAACGTACACTGCTGCTGCCCAGTCTGTAAATAGGACTTCAGTTTCCAAGGCTATCAATTATTTCATGAGCACTGAATTCATTAATGTATTTTCGTTTTAAAAAATAAAATTAGACAAACAAATTTGACTGTAGCCATATTGCATTGTTTCAAATTTAAAGGAAACTCTGTTTAAAAAGAAATTAATTGGTGGGAGCCGGGGGGGGGGGGGGGCGGGGAGTATTATATCTCTCTCTATATAGGTACACACATACACAGTGGCCTGGTCTACACTAGAGCATTAGGTCAACATAAGGCAGCTTACATTGACCTGTTTATGTCTGTGTACACACTACAGCCTTGCTCCCACTGATGTAAATGCCCTACTACATCAACATAACAATTCCACCTCCAGAGAGGTATAGGATTTATACTGGTGTAGTTAGGGTGATGAAGTGTCCCTGTAGACACTGCGTTACTTACATCTATTGGCTATCATTCTTGTCAATTTCATGGCTCCCGCCCGGGAACACACCATCCACTCTGGTCATCCTGGCCCATGCCTCCCCACAGGGAGCACAGCTTCACTCAGTGGGGCGCTCCATGCCCAGAGTCTGGGTCGGTGAGAGCCCGGCTGCCCCCCACGTCCCTGGCTCCCCACTCTGGGAGCACACAGCCATGAAGCCTGACGCAGCTGCCCCACTCCCAATGGGGAGCCAAGAAGCCCAGTGGGAAGCAGGAGCCAAGTAGAGAGGGGAGCAGGGAGCCAGGCTACCAGTGGGGATCTGCATCCAGAGCAGAGAGCCCTGGCTCTTAGCCCCCACATTCACCGACTTAAGAGGGGCAAAGCGTTCCTACTGAGGATGTGTACCACTGACAGAAGAAGGGCGGTGTGGACATGAACCACTTCAGTAATTACTGCGGTAGCTGTAAGTTGACCTAACATAGGTCAGCTTACATTTATAGTGTAGACATGCCAACATACACACCCTGACAAAATAAGACTTTTTTGGTTTTAAGCCATAATCCTCACATTAACACTACATCATTTCAAAACTGGTTTACTTTCCAAAGGAATATTTAAACAAATCTTCAAGATATGGATGTTTTACACCTCTAGGGAACATCTTTCAAGCAATGAGTTTCTATTGCCAACCTTGTGTTCTTGTGCACTTTCACAGACATCTGTGCTTCTTATTACTACTTGCTCTTTATCCTTCACTTCTTGTTCCAGGACTGCAATGCGTGTTCTTAGCTGGTTTAGTAGTTTCTCGTTTTCATGGCACTCTGTGTCAAGAGTTGAATTTTCTCTTGCAAGGGACAGAACTTCTTGTTTTGCCCTCTGATACTCCTATCAAATGAAGGTTCAGAGGAAAAATAGAAGAAAAACAGTAAGTCTTTACATTAAAGTGTTATGGAAAAATTTTAGGATGAGCAGCCACGCAGTTCTCTGTGAGGACTGGAGAGCTGTAGACGAAAAACTAATGAAAAATTATAATGAGTTTGGTCAGCTCTATCCAAGGGATTAGCCTTTAGACAGACTCATCTTCATTATATTTCTATTCTTCTCTAGCCAAAATTTTCCTCATAGGCTATTAGCTTCTCTGCAAATCACTCTGGTCCAGTTGGGAACCTCATAAAAACCTCCTTACACTTTTATGATAACTTATAATCCAAGTGTAAATGTTTCTGAGGCAAGGACAGTGTTTTCTTGTATGTTTGTACAGCACTTGGCATGCTTTGGTGCTAGCCAATTAATACCAATAATTAAAAAAGTTATGCAGATGCATTAAGAATAAAGATGTAAGAATAATTTAACAATCCTCACCTAACTATATGATTTTGTCTTTGAAACTGAACACCTGAGTATCAGTGCTTGAAGCAAATTACAGTTACTATAGTACAGTTATTATATTTGTCAGTGGAATTTGTGATCATATTTTTCACAATAATAGAACTCAAAATGTCTCTAGTAGATTCTTAAGCAAACCTTTACAAAAGCCCCATTTGGCCTTGCCTCAAAAGCAATACTACCTAGCCCTTGCAACACCTCTGTGTGAACAAGTGACAAATAACTGTAGAATTCTATTCACAAGACAAGGAAAGAAACAAAATATCACACCGGCAACATACCAATATTGCTACTGTGCTAATGGAGACCATAGACATAGAGTAGAGGTCAGAGAAAATTGCACACAGTTGACAGCAGGAAAACACAAACAAAACTGCACTGTGACTACACTTTATTCTCAAAAAGCCCAATCATTTTTCCATTATTCTTCTTTTATTATGGAGTAACCTGTTCATTTTATTCAGTTATGCAAATAGGGCGGGGGGAAGTTTGTCTGTACTGATTTCAGAATAATTCTCATCTATCTTGTCATATGCCTTTGGTTAGGCAACCTCCTTCTACATGCAAATGTTTGTGAAAAGAAAAAAAAATCAAATCCTCTTACTAACTGCAAACAAGTGTGTGCATGTCTCCCTTTCTGGTCAATTAAATTTTAATTGAGGTGGAATAATTGTACATATGGCATGTATAATAACTAAAGAGACAACATCTTGTTCAATTCACTGTAATGGAAGCCTACCACCACTGCTAATGGTATATAACTATAGTACTACATTAAAAGAATTAGATTAAATAGCAGGTAAAAAGGGGTGCCTCAAACAGTGTCATGGAGCGTGAAAGTTGGTAGGTCAGAGGGTGAGGCTGAATATCTTTGTCAATGAAGGAGGAGGATTTCAGCAGAGAGGAAGGAGAATTGTTATGTTCTTTGAATTAATGGGGCCCCATCATCTTCTCCATAGTGATCCCTCTTATCTTAAAGGGTTCCAGAGCTTAACAACAGTGATGGGTTTCTGATTGTGCATATCTTTACCTCCAATACAGCATGGAGCACTCCAAAGCTTGGATCATGCAAGACTAAATCAGGTCTTATGAGGTTGGGTTTTTTTAAACCACCACCACGGTCAAAAAATGCAAATTTTTTGCAGGAAAGGGTCAGAGTGAAAACCAGAGAAACCCACCTCAGCCAATAGCCCAGGCTTGGGAAGTAAGGGGCAGGAAAAGAGACAGATAGACCAACCTTCCTCAGAATAGCCAATGGCCTTGTGGGGAGGGCACTCATTTGGGATGTGGGACACCCAGGTTGAAGTCCTTGCTCTGGCTGGCTCAGAATACAGTTTTTCATCCCATGTCACTTCAAAATCAGACAGAGCAGGGACTTGAACCCAGGTCTCCCACCCTAACCACTAGGCTACTGGCTATTCTAAAGTAGGTCTCTATATCTCTCACTTTTTTTCCCCCTTCTCTGCTTCCCCCCCACCCCAAAAAAAGGGGGGAAGGTCCCAACTTTGTCCTGATGTGCAAAAGGAAAAAATTCTGAAGTTGTGAAAATTTTCACAAAACAGGAAACATTTCCTGCTCAACTCTACTCATGAGCTCTAGGGACTGGAGGGCCACAGCCTCTCCAGTGACACACTATTCTATTTTGTGCTGCTGTTCAGCAACAACGCAGCTGGTCTCCAAGTTCTACTCTCACGGCTGAGTGTAGAGTGGAAGGGGCAACACCTATGCCATTGAAACAACATCATAACCTTAGAGTACCATTGATTACCCAGATATCTTGGGCACACATTATCAGAACTGTAATGACTTTTCATTATAATTAGAAGATGATGGTATGATCCAAAACTCTGTTATTGTAATAAAGAATAGCAGATTTAGACAATCGAGGTTGTACCATGTATGGTTTAGTGATCGAGCATGTTTTAATAAAGATTTGCAATTTAGACTTGAATAGACCATACCTATGCAAAAAATAATTATTGCTGAATAGAGTCAAAAATATTGGCCAGGCCTTAAAACAGAATCCCAATGGTAGCTGTTGAGAAGGTGGTCACACAAGCAGGTTTCTCTCTATTTCTTCCCCATCCATTTCAAATAGAAGTTTCTAGAAACAATGCCAGAGAAATGGGGAAATAAAAATAATAAAGATAAAACCCAATTTTCCTGCTCCTGCCTATAACTCAAGACACAGTGTCAATCTGAGTATCTTGCCTCTCAATATGGCTGACCAGGACACTGCCACATTAGAGGTAACACTGCATGCACACACTGGATTCAGTATTGTTTCAGAAATTTGCTAGGCACTTTACAGAACAAATCCAGTGACTGATCCCTGCACAAGAGCTTATAATCTAATTTTAAATAGTAGCAGTATAGATTCTATTTAGATTTTTAAAATGTTTTTGCCAAGGACTATGAGGCATGAAAGAAGTTGATTAGTTTCCCCCACCCCCTCATGTCTTGTTTTTTTGCGGGGCACCCAAATAATTTGCCAGGTTATATCTGAAAGTTTTGTTGAGAAGAACTAAAATTAAACTTTACGTCAGCTGGAGACCATCTCTTTTTACATCAGGGTACCAGAGATCATGCTCAGGGAAATTCCCATTTGCAAAGTTAGCAGTGACACCATCAGGGTCTGCAAAGTCCACAAAACATTAATGCCTGTTCATTCCCTTCCACCAAAAAACATTAACTAACTCTTATCTGCCATGCTCACATCTTACTATACATCAATATGAATGAACTACACAATTTCAGTTTATCAACAACGTAACCATATGTCACTGAAACAGGATTGTCCTACTTTCAGGACCTTTCCCAATGTTCTTGTCCTGTGTTACAAGAACACCATGTTTTCTCTAGCTTTTTTGTAAATGTCAGCAAAACAGCCAGCTGACAGGCCATTGACCAGCTCAGCTGGTGACAGAAAGCAGGTTGGGGTGCGCTTCAGGAACTATCTCCTCTCTCACATGACACTGATGCAGCCCTGCTCTACATGAAGCCTTTCAAGAACTAACCCTCAAACCAACCCTCACCTCATGCAAACTCAGATCCACAGAGTCCGAAGCCATGGGCATTACTTTATTAGGTGAGCCTACAAGCTCATTTCTGTAGGGTAGAAATCCTTACCCCTCTCTCAACAAAAGATTTTTGTCTTCCCTTTGGTACCCCACCGAGGGGTTTTTGTCACTGAAGTATATGCTCTGGCCCACGGTTATTACCAAGTTAACAGGCAACATCTTCAGATTTATTACTATTATTATTATTATTATTGTTGAATGAGCACCTCATTCTCACTACCTTTCTCGCTGGCTAGTGAATGCCTCTGAACTATCCATTTATATACACACATGGCAAGCATGACTCCTACAGCATAAGACCCTATCTCTCCCCCATGCCTCAATAAAGGTGTTAGAGAAATAGCTTATATGGCAATGCAGAAATCTTTGAACATTTTTATTTCTTAAATGGGTTTTATCATGCTAAAGTAATTATTTTCTAAAATCTATCAAGATGAAGATTACAAAAGACAAGCTGATTGATTTATAACCCAGTTCCAAAAGAGAAAGATTACTGTACTGTCTGATTTGCAAGAATGATACAAGTCATAAATTGTTCAAGCTTAAATTTTCATCCTGCTGATCGATAGATTAATGTTGAGGAACCAACTGTTGGGAAAGAGCCCCAGCAATCAGCTGTTTTTATAGGATGCGTGTGTCAAGTTTTCCATAAACTGGTGACATCCCTAGACTTTCCCCTGGATAAGACTGTCAGCTTCCTCAAGGTGGTCTCATGTATCTGGCTTTCTGATATTTTTCAGGGGTCAGACAAGCAGTCTCTAAACCACTGAATATTTTTTAAATTGCTAATGTAAATGGGACTTTTCACAAAACTGATGCTAAACTAAGGATGATGTGTTGTAGCAGAATCAGTCCCAGGATATATGAGACACAAGATGGGCAAGGTAGTATTTTTTCTGGGACCAGCTTCTGTTGGTAAGAGAGATAAGCTTTCCAGTTTACACAGAGCTCTTTTTCAGGTCACCTGAAGAAGGGAGGAAAGGGTTAGCCAGTACATAACTGAATTTTAAGAAGAAAGTTTTAAAACTGGCACTGATGTTGTGTTTCAAACATTAGATAATAATTTGTTTTCTGTATTAAGACATTTAACCAACTCCAAATTACAGATTTGATTTACTTTAATAAAATTCTTCTACTTTGGATTATTAACAGACAGCCACCTTCCTAGGGTCCTCTTTAGAATTTATAAGAGCTGATTATTTTGGTATTAAATTTGATGATCGAACCCAAATTTAATAGTACTACTAAAGGTTTTGATTTGACCTATTTTTAGTTGAATATTAGTAAGAATATATTAAATCAAATCAAGAGAACATATCACCAAAGTTAAGTATTTTAATATATAAAAAAACAAACAGTCACATTTCTTTCAATAAGCATTGTGGGTCCAGAACCTAAAAGCCTGAATCCTCTCTCCCTAATTAGCCTTTGGTTCCCACAAATACTTTATCTCCCTCCCTCCTTAATTAAGAGTGATCTCTTCCTTAAATTAAGTTGTATTTAATGTGTGGGGTTAGATGGAAGCAATAGCACAGAAAGAGGAGTAAATGTTTAGGCAAATGGGTTTGATACAGGTATAGGGATGGGGCATTCTGAGGGCAATAGCCAGTTACCATGGAGAGGTTTGGATAATTGCTATATGGTTATTCAGAAACAGCTATACAATGCTTATGCAAATAGATTTTCCTGAGCCAGAGTGCAAGGATTTGCATAATAGAAATAAACATACAATTATGGTCAATAATTATGCAGCAGCTACATGTTTGGGTTGGAGGAAACATTTCAGTACAGACTTTATTTAGAGTCAGAACTACTTCTGTAGCAATTTTACATGCTTTATTTATTCTCTCCACCTACTTTGGAGCAGGCTGTAACAATATATTAAGGTTTGGATATTCAAAGGGTCTAAAATCCCAGTCTAAGTGTATCAAAATAAGGGGCCAGATCCTTAGCTGATGTGAACTGACTAAAGCTGATCTATGCTGATTTATATCTGACACAAAAAGACTTTTAAGTTTACTGGAATTCATTAAGTGAATCAATTTTTAAAGGCAAAAATGTTACCAGTAACACAATTTTAATTCCCCAGTAAGTATACCATTTATTATACTAGTTTTACTATACCTCTTCAAGTCCTGCAAGTTTGGATTTCAGCTCCCTTATTGAAGATTCAGACCTGTATTTTCTCTCTGTGAGATCCTTATTAACAGTTTCCAATTCAGATACCCTGGTTTCTAAGTGATGTACTTTTCTGTTGCAAGTTGCTTCCATCTCTTTCTTTTGCTGTTCATGCTGAAGGTGGTATTGTGCTTGAATCTTAAGCAGGAAGAGAAGGATATTAGTGAAGTCATGTATATATACAGCATACAGACAAACATCTAATTTTACATACAGATATGTTAATTTAAAATTCAATTAAATACAGTTAAAAAAAACGCACACCAGGCTCACAAGAGATACAGACAATATTAAAACTCAACATTTACACATTTCCCCTTCACTGTAGAGTTCAGGGAGTCTCTTTTTTAGAAGAAGCTATTAGATGAGGGCCTATTTACTTCAACGGATTGCCAAAAAGTACTTTTGCATATCTATGCTATAGATATGCAGTATTCTGGTGCTACTCTACCTGAGACAAATGGCTATATTTCTACTTACCTGCAGCACTTTCTCCTTTTCTGCTGTGATTTCTTGGGAGTACCTATCAGTCAGTGAAGTGGTCTGTGATGCCCATTCATTTTGCAGTTTATCCAGTTCCTTACTTTTTTCTGCCAAAGCCTGAAAATATCACATGCTGATTTCTGTTTGTATAGCAGGTATATTTTTTAAAAAAAGTCAATTTGGTATAGATTTAGCACCACACTTTCAGGGTTTGGTTTGCTTTGCTTTATTAAAAATAAAGGCTGCTTCCTACCTGCTCTGTTACGGTTAGCCTTTTCGAAAGTCTCTCTTCTGATCTGTGTAGCTTATCTTCCAAGATACTGTTTTCCATCTATTAAAAAACACCGAACCCCCCACAAAACTATAATATAATCATTAAGCAGCCCACACTAAAATTACAGATTTTTACTTTATAATAAGAACCTTTACCAATATGTAAAATGACCATATTATTACTATCAGTGGTGACAGTATACAGTAAATTAGGAAGTCTCCTTCCAAACCACTAGCAAAATTAAATATTATATATATATATATATTACAATAAAAGTGTAATGAAAAATATATACGTTATAGGATTGGGGAAGACAGGAATGGAGGAAAGAAATTTGCTCACAATAGCGTAATAGATTTGATTTAAAAAGGAAGATCTCTAAAGCACTTAAATATTTTTTTATTTTCCATGCAAATTTGCTGGTCTTATGTATTTATTTCTCTGTTTCTTCTAGAAAGAAAAGAATTATGCCTAACTTCAAACCCACTTGTTCATCATAGTTTGAAAGTCAGACTTAGCTGTTATTGGAGTCACACTCCATTTAAGAGATTTTAAAATAGCAGATGGGTGGGGGAAAACATCCTTATGAAGCAAAGAGCATATATACCACCTGTAAGGGACCTACTTGCACCAACCTAGATTTGAAGAGGAGGGAATTCTTTCCCATAGCACAAACTTCCCTTTTGCTACAAATTATCCTCATAGGGAGTTGAGGGAGATTCATTAGTTTAAGATCCAGAAAGAAATCTGGAACTAATTAGAGGTTTAACACATTCAGCATCTCTAGTTTTTCCCTCTCGTAGTATAGTTTTCAAACCAATGCAGTCTAATTATACTAGGCAGGCCTATTGAATGGAAACTTTCTAATGTTACTGCTTATTAATTTTCAAGCATATTTATACAAGAAGATAAAAACTTGCATCTATATACATCTAAGACATTGGGCCCAATTTTCCATCTAATTTAAACTGGTAAAAAAAACAAAGACAACTCTCTTGAAGTCACCTGAGTTACACCTAATAAGATGAGAATCAGGCTAACTGTTTATACATATGGTATATGCACAGCACCAGCTTAGCAATAAGAGCTAGCCATGTACTAATCATATGCTTTAAATATCCTTCTAATTTGGCGCTTGACCTTGGAATTGGATTTGCATGTGTGGACCATTACCCCCACTGGGAAACCCATTCAGGTCAATGGGGCTCTACATGGAAGGATGGACCTTCATGGATCATACCAAGGTTCAAGACTTATCTTGTTCTATCTGATCTACAAGGGCTTTAATTGATAGTACTTGTGTTAATTCTTAATAAAAGAAAGACTTAAAGCTAACCTTTAAATTTTTAATGCAGATGGCAAGATATTTCTTGATGTCACTGTCACTTCCTGCCAAAAGCTTTAGAGACAAGTGAGTGAGATGTTTGAATGGATTGGTTTCCACTACATTTAAACATGCAGGCATGCAGTCCAATGCTGGAGAAGATGTTACAAGTTGAATTAAAAACCTATAAACACACCAAGAAAAGGCAAGTATTAAAACCAACAGTCTCTTGAATCAAGAAGGTTACAGCCATTTAAACCTCACAGACTCCCTGGGCTTCTCCCACCATTATTTTATAGATACACTGAGACATCTGCGAATTCAATCAAGAGCCACCTCTTGACCAGCTCTCAACAGGGTGGCCACCAGAGTGGACAATCCACATCAATTCAGAAAATTGTTTGAACAACAAGGTTGACTGTCTAGAGACAGGCAGCTAAATTATGTTCAAATCTGGTCTTGAGAAAGCCATTTTTAAACTATGTTTTCAAATGAGTTTTAGACCCAGCTTTCTCCATTACAGACAGGCCCTAGATGTGCTGCACTAGTCAAGGAGCAAGAAGTACAAAATTGTTCTATCTGCATGAGAAACAGACTAAAGGAAAAAAGTGTTTGGTTTTTTTCTAAATTGAGTTAGCTAACATGATTTGATGCAACACTTAACATCTAGCATACACAGTTTAACACAATAATAGTGCTGGGTGCCATGTTGTAGCCCCTCAGGATTTGTCTTCACTAGGAAAAAAGGTCTGTTGCATGGTTACTAACACATGGTAACAAGGTAAAATTATAGTAAAAACAAGACAATTGTAGTTTTTACATATGCTAGCAGGTCAAGGTGAACCCTAGGTTCTCCCTTTGTGTTTACCTCAACCTGCTAACACACATGAAGACTAAAAACCTTTACGCCTCATCTACACCACACGGTTAACTCGAGGAAGCTAATGTATTTGAAAAGGCTAGGATAGATACTCCCCAAACATCTTTTCCAAGATACAATGCACAAGGGCACCATGAAAGATGGCACTCAGGATATGTCTGCACTGCAACTGGGAAATGTGATTATAGCATTAAAGTTAGCTCAAGTACCAAAAGCAGCAGCAGCCCAGGCAGTGGCTACTTGAGTACTCACCTATGGACATGGGCAGGCAGGACTCGCTAATGCGCCTGCCTGTGCTGCCACACCTTCACTGCTATTGTTGTTGAACTAGCTTTGATGCTACAATCACACCTCCTGATTGCAGTGGAGACATACCCACAGATGCTTATGCATGAAGCCGAGAACAGGTGATCAAGGATGTCAGGTAACACAAATTGAGACAAGCTCAGATAATAAGTAAGAGAGGGCAGAGTTATGTAGAACTTTGAAGATGGTAACAAGATGCTTTAATCTGATGCAGTAGTGAATGGGGAAAAAGTGGAAGGGTTGAAAGTGGGCAGTAACGTGATCAAAACAAGAGGCAATGAAAATGGCCTTTGCTGCAATATCTTGCAGGGAGCAGAAAGAGAAAATGTGGATTTCAGGGATACCAGAGAGGAAGTTGTTGCAGTAGGCAAAGTGACATACAGTGAGGGCCTGAATGGGAGATTTGTTTGACAGGATGGAAAGAGAAATCTTGGAAAAGCTGAGGAAGAAGTGGCAAGATTTAGATATGGCCTGGATGTGTGAGGCGATGTAGGAATCAAGTCAACATCCACATTGCAGGCCTGAATGATGGGGAGAATAGTGGTGTTGACAAGGAAAGAGAATTTTAGTTTTTAAATTACCAGTAGGACTGCAAAGTGGTCTTCCTCTACCATTTTTTCTTAGCAGAGTTAAGGAACTTTGCAAATACTAAACCACATGAACAGCTCCCCTAGCTACCCCCATCTCTGGCACTTGTAAAGGCATTACTCATCATCACTACGATATCCAAGCACCCATACAACCAACTGTGAGAGTTGCACTGAAATGCTCCCTCAGGTAAGGATTTGCATTTATTGAAAGCTCCTTTCTAATCCAAATTCTATCAAAATAATGAAACTGCCCTTACCGAGGCACTTGTTTGCCTTGTTCCAAAATGCATTGTTCTAACAAATCAATGAATTTCTGGGGAAAAGCTGAAAAATCTATAAGCAGTCCTTGTTGGCTCTTTAAACTGCGAAGGAAACAAAAGGATGGCAATGGTAAAGGATAACAGTCAAGGGAAAATAATCTTTATTCTTAAACATTATCAGCCTATAAAACAAATTAGCTTTTCTAAATGGGATCTGGGTGGTAGTGCTGTATTACTCAAACATCAATGTTTTTGTCATTAGCAGTTTCCCTTAGTTGGGCAGTTTTTCCTCTGTACTCTCTTATTAGGAGGTTTCAATTTCTTCCCTCCTATTAAAGTAGGATCTGGGTAGTAAATGAGACAGCCATATCTTTGAGAACACACACAAAGATAGTTACTACAAAACAGTTTAAGAGAAAAGAATCTTATTTCTTTTTTAATACCAACTCCCACCTATGTAAAAAAGCCACCAGACACGGACTTTAGTAAAGACAGCAATACTATATGCACCATAACTTCAGACACTATATGAACACAACCCAAAAGTTCACAAAATTAATTTTCAACAGCATAAACTAGAACTTTCAAAGAACCGAATTCATTCTGTTAGGCAGCATAACTAACACGGACAACTTTTTACTATGTTAACAGAAGTTTTACATTATTTATTAATACAATACTTTAAAGAAGGATCATCATCTCATTTCCTATACTTATACTCCTCTATGATACAAAGAAATCTTTCAGAACAGAATCTGCTTCCAAACTCAAGTGCTGACACCTACACCAGTAATTAAATTATATTAAAATGACAACACAATGCAGGGGGTATGTAAACTTCAAAGATTTTGTAGTAACAGTAAATGAAGTAAGAAACACAGAACACTGTACATATTTGTTCTTAAAACAACATTCACAGTTAATGATAGCAAGTTCCATTGTTTCTCAGAGAAAAGCAGCAAGATAGCAATTACCTCTGAAAATCTTCCTCTCCTATAGCAAGAGAATACAAGAATAATGGATCTGCATCATCTGTAATACGTACTGTAAGTTCCTGTCAAAGTTGGGGTAGAATTGTATTAACATTATTTGTTGAACATTAACAGTGTGCCTCTTGGCACCATAAAGTATACAGGAGACATGACACGTAAAAAGTTTACATTTACAAAAAAGACAAATGAACTACAATTAAGATACAAAGTACAAGGTGACTAAAGTGGTATTTTTAATCACACCTTTGGTTCAGACTTTTTTTATTTTGGTAAATAATAGCAGATCATTAGTGGTGACTCACATTGACAAGTGTAGTCAAGTTTATCTACAATGTGTATTTTAAATCATCAGAATAATATTTTGTATGATCCCTAAACTCATCACAGTACGCTTAAACAAGATTATATGGTTATACAGAGATTTACAAAAAAGCAACTCATAGAATCTCACAGCAACTCATAGAAACTTAAGCAATGCAAAAAGCCTGTGTCACTGCATCAAGGCAGTTTACATTCTATTTTAGCACACAAAAGATAGCAGACATACAAGAAAATCTTTTGATTCAGAACATACCTTCTTACGGATAGGACTGGATGATGTACAAGTTTCAACAGTTAGCCTTACATCAGCCCTCCTACAATATAAACAGAGAATCTCACACTCAACAAGAGACATTTCATGAAAAGGTCTACATTAACATCTGAACTCATGCTTTCTACAAATGTATTGTAACATGGTGTTAAAAAAACAAAACAAAAAGAAAAACGGTACTACAGTTCCATTCCTGCTAGGAATAAAATTATGTATGGCTGGACAACTTGATTAACGTTTGACTGAAGTTGCAAATGCCTAACCAGTCAATAGGTTCAGTAATCAAAACACCTACTCAATATTTAATGAAGACTGACGTCTCTCAGTGCACAAAGTTAAGCACATGCAATGAGTCTTCTCAGAATTGTTGCCCTATTTTCTACCATTGTTACCAGCACAACTTAATCCTCTGTTTTGTTTCTACCTACAGACACTCTTTCAGATCTAATACTTTTAGATTTCAGCATATTAGATTTCCGCAATATTAACTAACTGTTTCTTGTTTTCATTTTGGGTGTTTTAATACTGGCTAGTGTTGTAGTCATGACTCCATGGACTGAAGAGATTCTTCAACCATTACAACTTTTTCCTTAAGTTCAGAAATAAATGGAACAAAGTTTCAACTTTTTATCAATACTTTCTTCTAATGACTTAGTAGCCTATAAAACTACTTGGCATGAACTCTCAGAAGTTACATTTTTTATTTATTTTTTTTAAAATCTTCCTTAGCAATGAGTATTCACACTCTCAGAGGAATGGGGAGCCTCTACAGGAAAGGGTCTGCGCATTATCCAGCCACCAGAAACAGCAGTGGCAGATCTCTAGCAGACAAGACCTTAAATTCCCCAGGCCTTTCCATACTGTGGTTAGTTCACCTTGAGAGACACGATGAACACTAAACCATGAATAAAAACTACAGTACTAGCTACATCCTCTATTTTCAATGCTGAGAGCCAAATTTTCAGAAGAGCTCAGGACCTACTCAGGGGTCAGCTCCCATTTATGTACCTAAATACGTGCTAGAGTTTCAAAACAACTCAGCGTCAAATGTGGTGATAATTTCTGAAAATCTGGCCAGTTATTTTGATTCCTAAATGGGAGCTGAGCTCTTCTGAAAAATGCAATTTTAGCAATCAGTCTGCCCTAAATTAAAGCTAATTAAAAGCTAAAGTAAAATATTTTCCCTGTCTCAACTGTGTTATATCACTCCCATAAAATGTTATCAAGAATGCAATAGCATACTGGCAATTAGGAGCCAGGAGTACAAGATTTGAAAGGCTCCAGACTGGCGACATCAGTGGGGCCACCATGACAGATCATATTAATCCAAGTCAGACAGCGCTACAGGAGCGAATACAGTGAGTATAAAGGGATGCAGGCAAGATTGAACAGTTTCTTAATTATTTTTAATAAAGTTTAAAAAAAATGGTACTGTTGTGACAGGAAATTTTATATAATTGGAGAATAAACATTTAATTATATCCTACATGAAATTATAGTATGGTAATTAGCATCTTGTGGTCCCCTGCCTTGCTACAACCGCACCATAAATTCCTCAAAGTGGCATATACTGATGGTTAAATTTCAGAACTAACAGTCTCAGCTTTGGACTTAAGAAGTCAGAATGTTCCAGTTATCCTGTGGAAGCAAAGCCTCAAGAATTCCTCCATTTCTTTAGACAAGGTGGTTCTACCGTTAGACAATATCATAGATTTCTCAGAAAGTTTTGTAAGCATGCTAAGTTGTATAAACATGTTGTATTTTACAGAATGTTTTGTACTCATGCCACACTTTATTGTGGAAACTTATTAGCAAGTAAACTGTACGTAATCTGTTTGTGTATGCAGAATCTGTCAGAAGTATTGTCAAAAATAAGCAGTGTGCTAGAAGCAGCTTGTTATCTTCTAGGGATAATTGTTACAGAGGTCTGTGTGAACTTCAAAATATGTAGAAAACTAGATAAGAAAAGGGATGAAAGGTTTGTGGTAATACAGTAAAATCACTCTCTGTTGTAAACAAGTGAGGCAGAACTATGAGCAAAATTGAGCTAATAGTTTTGGAACAGTGAAGATATAAACTGCATGCCTGTTCTCCAGATTGGGTAAAGTATTAACCCTTTCTGTATAGTGCTGATCTATCTATCTGATTGAGAGTCATCAGAATTGAACCCATCAACACTGCTAAGGATCCTGTGGAATTTAGAATCGCTGAAGGACCAAATACATGAAGCCTAGACATGCAAGAGGAAATGGGAGGTGATGCATTTACAAGGTGGTGTTTTGCACTTGTGATGGAGAAATTTCACCTTTGTCTCAGGAAATATGGCAGATTACTAATTCCCCTGAAGTCTACATGAGGCCTAAAGGGTATGTTTATGCTTAAAACACGGCAATGGCGTGGCTCCCATCAGTGTAGATAATCCACCTCCTCGAGAGGCAATAGCTAGGTTGATGGAAGAAATCTTCCATCGACCTAGCACCGTCTATGCCAGGGGTTAGGTTGGTATAGCTGTGTATTCCATGGCTGTAGATTTTTTCACCCCCTTGAGAATCGTACCTATACCAATGTAAATTCCTAGTGTAGATCTGGTCTCAGAGACATGAGGAGTCCACAACACATTTAGAATACTTGTAGCTCCTTGTGAGCACAAAAGGAGTCATATACCAGTAAGTATAAGTGTATTAAACCAAGTTACGAGAAGAGGAGAGGATAGTCATGCTGGAGGGAAGGTACAGTACTTGAGCAACAGAGTAAAAGCCCATCAGAACTTTTCAGAGGTTTTCAAAGTCCATCACATCATTTGCACACTAGATAAATACAAAATACCTGTGGGGCAATGCACATCTGATTTTCTCAAACTCCCTTATCTCAGAAATTACTTCTGATTTTCCCAAATTTAGCTAAAAAAAAGTACACACATATGCCAGGTACAGATTTGAAATTGAAAGACCATTTCATAGAGGGGGACCTATTTTAGACATAAACAGAAGGCGGTCTACAATTTTAAATGTGAATAGTCTCTTTCAATTAGTCCCTATAATGCCATGGTATATACATTGGAGCTCCCCCTACTGCCCTTGTCCATGAGTATTCTGTGTTAGGCTATGCTAGAAGCACTCTTGCGATCAGTCATATGCTCCTCGCTCAGCCCAAGTCCTTGAGGCAGGGCTACAGTGATGAAATGGTGATAAGTGTCATGGAAGTGCTGCTCTCAGATAAGCAGGTTATAGGGCTACAATGGAATCCCTTTTGGCAAGAGCAATTTTCAAGTCTTGCATACATGTAAGCCACTGCTACAGTAAAATACAATGGAGCTCTCTTACCCTTAAAGATGCCTCCTGTCATAAATATAAAGGGAATGGTAAACACCTTTAAATCCCTCCTGCCAGAGGAAAAACCCTTTCACCTCTAAAGGGTTAAGAAGCTAGGATAACCTCGCTGGCACCTGACCAAAATGACCAATGAGGAGACAAGATACTTTCAAAAGCTGGAGGGAGGGAGAAACAAAGAGTCTGTCTGTGTGATGCTTTTGCCGGGGACAGAACAGGAATGGAGTCTTAGAACTTAGTAAGTAGTCTAGCTAGATATGCGTTAGATTATGATTTCTTTAAATGGCTGAGAAATTAAGCGGTGCTGAATAGAATGGATATTCCTGTCTGTGTGTCTTTTTGTAACTTAAGGTTTTGCCTAGAGGAATTCTCTATGTTTTGAATCTAATTACCCTGTAAGGTATTTACCATCCTGATTTTACAGAGATGATTCTTTTTTACCGTTTCTTCTATTAAAATTCTTCTTGTAAGAACTGAATGCTTTTTTCATTGTTCTTAAGATCAAAGGGTTTGGGTCTGTGGTCACCTATGCAAATTGGTGAGGATTTTTATGAAACCTTCCCCAGGAAGCGGGGTGCAAGGGTTGGGAGGATTTTGGGGGGAAAAAGATGTTTCCAAACGGGCTCTTTCCTAATAAAATAAACCCGCTCAAACGTTTGGTGGTGGCAGTGGAAGTCCAAGGGCAAAAGGTAAAATAGTTTGTACCCTGGGGAAGTTTTAACCTAAGCTGGTAAAAGTAAGCTTTGGAGGTTTTCATGCAGGTCCCCACATCTGTACCCTAGAGTTCAGAGTGGGAAAGGAACCTTGACACCTCCCACCCCTGTTTCAGGGTTGAGACATGTTGGTAGGGCAGTATGGGGAAGTTTGTATTGCTGCTGCCCAGTATTTGTTTTGTTAATTAAATAAAAGAATTTAGTGTCCAAAATTTAGTTAATTTCGAACTAAATCCACTAAAATTAAAGAAAAAATGGTATCCCATGACAAAAACATTTGAAGTGACAATTAGCACAGCTGACTTGGGGGAATTTGAATATGTGCTTCTTTACTTATACAGTATTTAGAAGTCAAAAGTTATAATTACTGTGTCCTATAGTGTTTGAGGGGTCATCATTCAGATGGTTAGTACATCTCGAGTTAGCAGATGCTGGGTTTGTTAACCTACAGCTTGAGCATCGACACATATCTGTAACCCCAGATTAAGAACTGTTGAACCCTGAGTCCCAACCTGGGATTCTAGAGTTGTAGCCAGACAGCCAGCCCCCCCCTCAGACCAGCATTGCTGGAAACACAGGAGGAAGCAGGAACAGGGCACTTAACATATATTCCAGCACAGCCTTTGAAGCACAGGTGTGCTGCTACAATGTGCCTCTGGGAACAGATACGACGATTAAGCTCACAGCAGGCAGAGGCCCTGTGACAGACATGGCTCTTAGCCCCTACTAAGTAGCGTGATGCACACACACCAACATCCTAGGTGGGAAAATATTTACCCTGATAAAAGAAATGTCCAGTAGTCGAAACTTATTGTTTCTCTCCCTTGCAAGTGTAAACTACTCTTGCAAAAGCTGGCGTCACCCCGACAGACCAGCCTCAATTTGGCATAAGAAAGGAGAAAGAGAATAAAGGAGTACAGAGGTATAAGTAGGGGACCTACAGCACCATGATTTTTGAGTGCTTTTCACTATCTATCTGCTGGTCAGATAAGTGACAGCCTCCCAAGGCTTCTGCAGCTAAGAGGGTCCCGACGCCTTGTCCCTTATTCGTCTTTCCGCGGAATTGAGTGACCGATCCTGGCTTGGCACCGCTGGAATCGAGAGATGCAAGGAGGGTAAGAAGCACCCACACCTGATCTCCTATCTTTAGTGTACACATATTTTGAAATAGAGCTCTATACTTTGTTTTCTTTCTTTGGGATTGTGGCTTCAGTTTTGTAACTTGTTTGTGTGTGTGTAACATCTCTACATTTAAATAAGTAGGCACTAGCAATTTTGTAACCACATGATTAGAATCTAGCTTAATAAATTTTGGTAACCATTTATGCATAAGCCTGACTTGTTTTCTCTGGTTTACTGTAAAGCAGCCATCACAATTAAAGAACCTCAGCCGTTTTGGCTCTAAAGCCTGGCCATTAGGTGAGAGTACTAAGAGCCTAGCGTTGAGTTGTGCCGCCTCCACGGGGCAAACTCTTGGGGCACCTGTCAGTCAATCCTGGCTGCCCGCTGCGAAGGAGCTCTGAGCTCTAGCAGTTAAAGTCACGGGTGTGGAGAGGCTCTTAGTGCTGCCATTGGGGCACCTGTCAGTCAGTATTGACTGCCCGCTGCGAAGGAGCTCTGAGCTCTAGCAGTTAAAGTCACGGGTGGTTAGGACCTTGGGGCATCCGTCAGCCTAGCCCGGGCTGCCCGCCGCGAAGGGACAGTGCGTCCTAGCGGTTAAAGTCACGGATGGTATAAACGGGCATAGCTGGCACCTCACCAAACATCCTTGGCCGTCGGCTAACAAGAGTCTACACTACATTATGTGAGACTGAGTCCAACCACCCGTATCCCAAACTTCCTATTGCCCTCCCAAAATGTGTCCTTCGTTCGTGGTGCAGCGTGGGAAAATTTTACTGTCCACAAACTAGAGTGTCCTGAGAACAGTCAGCCCATGGGATCATGGAATACTTTTGGTGCACTCCCAGAGCAAAAGCCCAGTGCAGATGAATCTACACTGCAAAGCAATAGAGCTGTGTATGATATTTTCTTACAGTGCTAGCCGACTGAAAGCTATAACATCCAAGGATATGTCTACACTGCAATAAAACACCCACGGCTGGTTCATGTCAGCTGACTCAGGATTGCAGGGCTCCAGCTATGGGGCTATGAAATTGCAGTGTAGATGGGGGCTATGAAATTGCAGTGTACCCCAAGGGAGCCCGAACACGTACACTGCAATTTTATAGCCCCCCCCCCCCCAGCCTGAACCCCGTTACCTTGCGTCAGCTACACGGGCCAGCCATGGTTTTATTGCAGTGTAGACATACCCAAGTGTACCACCTTCCCTAGTAATCTTTCTAGGCTCTTACTGCCCTGCTAGCGCTCCTCATGAGACTGTTTCTCTCATGTATAGGGCTCCAAACATTTATCATACACCTTCTGAGTCCAGGATGATAGCAAAGATGATGTTTCAGTGGGGTCCTGAACTTCCCACCAGAGCACTTTTCCTGAATTCATGGGAGGGGAGCAGAGACTGTGCTAAACTTGCCATCCAAGTGCTTGATCTGAGTCATGCACTGCAGGCAAGAGCAGTGCAAACTTTCTCACCCAGCAATAGTATGATGCACTTCAATCCAGTCCTGAAACATTCCTACAAGATGCATCAGGACACAGCTACAGCAACAATCTGGTTGCAGCATTACCTTACCACATCATTCTGTCTAAATCAGTGATATTATTAAAGAAATCCTGAAGTTTGTAAGACAATACTGCAGTTGGTTAATACAAAACAACGTAGGATAGTCAGGAAAACAACTATCAGAGGAGACAAGAGGAATGTCATGCCTAGAGTAAGATTTTTACATTTCTCATTTTCTCCTTCCAACTCTTCTAGGCTGCTCTTTGGCAGTCTGCAAGTCATGCTGATTAATGTGGTGGGTTTGTAATACGTGCAAATGGAGACTAGGAAGAATCTAAGATAATTGACACTTGTGCCTTAAGATGTGATTTCAGTCCAGGTCCACCCCACCATGTAGGAACATTTACTCAGTTCTCCCATGCTAGGTCAGCACATGGAATAACTAAATCCTGAGAGACCCAGAGTTGGTAACTCAGAAGGTGACACTCCTCCATCTGACTTAATACTGAACCAGCACCCAACATGGTCCTAGGGGGCATTGGGTCCTGCAGACGCCATCCTTTAGATGAAATTTAAAGAACTTGGCCATATGTGGAAAATAAGGTTCCATAACACCTTTGAGGGGATCTTGCAAAGAAACCTTCAAGAGCTCAGTATAGAAAGCAAAAAGCTCCATTGCTATCTAGTTTGCAGCAAGAAGCACATTTGATGGGAAAATATCTGAAACAGAACAATATATACTGGGCTTAAGGCAATACTGATGGTCCCAGTGCAGAAGAAATTGAGGAGCAAAGTGTAAATGATGGAAGTCCTATTATTAAGTCATTAGCAGATTTACCTGATAATAAGGAATGGAAATGTGAGGAAAGCGATGGAGAATCATGCAGTTTTCCTAGCAGCATAAAGGAGACTCATGATAAAGAAGAATGTGGAAAGGAGAGCAGAGACAAAGAAAAATCTGGTTTACATGACGAAAACCAACAGAGAAGAATCAGCCTTGCACGATGTCAAAAACAGTGAAAAAAAATTCCATGCCACAAATCAGTACATCAGATCCTGCTTTATGGCTGGTGATCCTAAGCTCTGCTGATATTGTTTGCACAATTTTGAACTAACTTCAAATTTCTGACCTCAACTGTGCTTTGGCACCATAGGCGCCAATTTCTGCTGGCGCCAGTGGGTGCTTGACCCCCTCTGCCCCGGCCCAACTCCACCCCTGCCCTGTCTGCCCCCATTCCAACTCCTTCCCCAAATCTCCGCCCTGGCCCTGCCTCCTCCCCTGAGCACACCGCATTCCCGCTCCTTCCCCCTCCCTCCCGAAGCTTGTTACGCCATGAAACAGCTATTTTGCGGCGGCAAGCACTGGGAGGAGAAGCAGGGACACGGCGCGTTCAGGGGAGGAGGCGGAGGTAAGCTGAGGCACAGAGGCAGGGAGGGGAGCTTGGCTCTGCACCCACGGATTTTTCCCCGTGGGTGCTCCAGCCCTGGAGCACCCACAGAGTCTGTGCCTATGTTTGGCACGATACCCTGTTCCAAGTAAATGTTGTAACCAAGGCATTACAAACTCAGTCGATGGACATCGTGACTGCTACTGCTTTTGATGAGATGCTGCCTTGATTTCATTGTGGCTTGTAGAGACAACAGATCTGAAGATCCATCGCTGCTGCCAAAGAAATGGCAGAAAACTTAGAAGTTGAGCCTGTCTTCAAGGAAACTCATATTCACTGGAAGAGGAGATAGTTTGTTTACAAGGGCAGGGATGAAGTGATGGGAAGCTTGGAAGACAAATTAAAGACGGAGATTTTTTGCCTGCTCATTGACCCTGCTTGAGTGTCCATTGAAGAAAGGTTCAGACAAAGGGAGGGGGAGAAGTTTGTGTTTCCTAAAGCCCCCCCAGTCAGTAGTTAGATGAAAATGTTAACTTTTATTTAAAAAAAAAAAAAAAAGTTTCTAGTCCTCCTGGTTGTGGGGAAGACTTGAAAATGGGACTCCCCCACAGGCTCAAAAAACACAAAAAGCAAGATAAAAAGAATGCAAAAGTTACCATTTAAGAACAAAATCATTTTTAACCCAAACTCATGAGTCCTGAATGTGTACAGTTGACAGCTCTGAACTATTCCATGTGTTTGTTACAAGGCTTTAAGGCGTCAATATCTTGTGCAAATATATTTATAAAGCTAGGGGGTTATTAGAAGAGGAAGGCAGGAGAGTTTTTTAATACTACAAATAAAGTGTTCTGAGTTTGTCAGCTTGGGTGAGGCTGGGGCTAGTGACCCCAATTAGCAATATTGCCTGTCCCAATATTTCTGAGGACAAAATGCGAGAGGCTTGGGGCAGGTTTCCAACGAAGGTCCATGAGCCTGTACTCCTAAACCCCTTGGGTGCTTTGGAAAGCCTTCTCTGGGCTGTGACTGAGCGCACACAAATCCCTTTGCCAGCGCTCACACCCTGCTCTGCGCACCACAAAGCGGGAAAACAACTTCGGGGGGGCCGAGCGAGGCGGGCCCAGGCTGCCGCTGCGGCCCCCTGCACGGAGACAGCACGGGCGAGCGTGGGGAGCTCATTGCCCCGGCTCGCCCGGGAGCCGCCCGTTCCCGCACTTCCTCCACACCCCTTCTTCACACCTGGCTTCCCTTTGCAGGCTCTGCCGAGCCCCCCTCGCGCCCAGGCGGCGGCAAACAACGACCCTAGGGCCCCGCTCTGCCAGGGGGGCAGCCGGACTCGCCCCCGGAGCGGCACTCACCTCTCCTCGCAGCCCGCGCAGCTGATCACCGCGGACACCCCCTTACAGAAGAGCCGCTCTGCCATGCTGCCGGGAGCCCGCGCGTCCCCGCGCCCCTACCTAGCCCTAGCGCCGGGCGCATTAGCGGCCTGCCCGCACCTGCGGCAGCGCGGGGATTTCCCCCAGCCGCCGCGCCCTGCTGTGCTCGCTTCCCCCTCCCGCCCGCCGGGCGCCTCCCCGGGGCTTTGGCGCCGGCTTCCCGCCGCTGGGGAGAGCGCGCCGGGCGGAGCCACGGAAGGGGGGACGCACCCCCGCTGCTCAACCCCTGGGCGCTGGGGCTGCCTAAGGCCGCGGGAGCCCTTGCGGTGCCCGGTGCGTTGTTAATCCCTGTATCCGCCTGAGCCGCAAGCGGAGCTCGGGAGGAAACACGCAGCCACAGAGCCGCTCCAGCATTGCCAACGGGGCTGGGGTCCTCCCAGCTCATGAGTCAGCCCCCGCAACATCATGGGCTTGGCTTAAAAGCTGTGAGAGTCTTTTAAAAATAACGGGGGGGGGGGGGCTGGTGGCTCTTTGTCTTTTGCTTCTTGAACCTGCAGGATAACCTAGGGCGAGAACGTCCAGCCGGTCTCTGCAGGCGGGAGGGTTAGGAACGATCGAAGATGAAAAGTGAGGGTCTCACCGAATTTGGGGGGTGTCACTTCCTAGCAGTGGCCATATTAACAACATTTGCTTAATAGCAACATGCCCGGAAATGATCCCCGCCCATTGACTGGAATGTGAATGGGATTCGGATAGTAGCAACAGGCGTGCTGCTCAGAAACAACTTTTTTGAAAGAACGGCTCCGGCTGCAGGCAGGTTGGCAGGGGTGGAGGGAAGGAGGTGCTGGGATATGCCGCGCCCAAACGTCAGGGCAGGGAGACCACAGGGAGAAGTACCATCCATCTCCACAGGCCTCCAGCTCCCCTTGGAAACCCCTGCATCAGGCCCTCAGCCCGCTGTTGTCCTGGTTCCATGCTCCCTTCCCAGCCCACAGCACCGGGACTCTGGCAGAGGCTCCCCCATGGGGTGGTGATGTGGGTGCTCTAGTCACATGACACTTGTGGGGCACATGCGTCCCTGGCCACAGGCAGGTTTGTAGTCCCCAGTCACTAAAGGCACATCCCAGCACTTTCTTCCCTGATTGAAGCCCCACAAACCTGCCTTTCACTTATTTTATGCTCTGTTGTTGTAGCTGTGTTGGTCCAAGGATATAAAACGCTTGTCTCTCTTTCACCAACAGAAACAGGTCACTACTACCTCATCCTACTACTACTTTGTCTTTCACTTACTGGCAACTCTTGGATAAGAGCAATGTTTTTCTGGGAGCCAAGAGGTTGTTAATAAGCAGAATCCTCTGTACTTGACTCCAAGAGCTGGGGCTTTAAGGAAAAATGCCAAGTAGTATGAGTAAGGCCCTGGGGCCAGCTGCTGCAACTGCGGAAGTCATGGAGGGCCCGGAAAGTCACAGAACCCGTGACTTCTGTGAAAGACTTACAGGCTTAATTATGAGCTAGCAACAGTGAATGCTGCCCTCAATTACACTGGGATAAATCTAGAGTAACTCCAAGGTAAAAACAGAATCCTGTCTAATTTTGGCCCCAATTGCGCCACGAGTATAGAGAATGACTGACTGAATCTCCAGACCCTTATGCATCTCCGAGCATGAGCACTGCACCAAATACATAAAGAACAAGTGTAGTCACTTTGCTTGCACCAAAAAATCCAGACCCTTTTTTAAACTGAAGAAAGAAAAGGAGTACTTGTGGCGCCTTAGAGACTAACCAATTTATTTGAGCATGAGCTTTCGTGAACTACAGCTCACTTCATCGGATGCATACTGTGGAAACTGCAGAAGACATTATATACACACAGACCATGAAACAATACCTCCTCCCACCCCACTCTCCTGCTGGTAATAGCTTATCTAAAGTGATCATCAAGTTGGGCCATTTCCAGCAGAAATCCAGGTTTTCTCACCCTCTGCCCCCCCCCCCCTCCCCACACACACACAAACTCACTCTCCTGCTGGTAATAGCCCATCCAAAGTGACTACTCTCTTTAAAATGACAGGTTTCAGAGGAACAGCCATGTTAGTCTGTATTCGCAAAAAGAAAAGGAGTACTTGTGGCACCTTAGAGACTAACCAATTTATTTGAGCATGAGCTTTCGTGAGCTACAGCTCACTTCATCAGATGTTATACCGTGGAAACTGCAGCAGACTTTATATACACACAGAGAATATGAAACAATACCTCCTCCCACCCCACTGTCCTGCTGGTAATAGCTTATCTAAAGTGATCAACAGGTGGGCCATTTCCAGCACAAATCCAGGTTTTCTCACCCTCCACCCCCCCACACAAATTCACTCTCCTGCTGGTGCTAGCCCATCCAAAGTGACAACTCTTTACATAATCAAGTCAGGCTATTTCCTGCATAGATCCAGGTTTTCTCACATCACCCCCACCCCCATACACACACAAACTCACTCTCCTGCTGGTAATAGCTCATCTAAACTGACCACTCTCCAAGTTTAAATCCAAGTTAAACCAGAACATCTGGGGGGGGGGGGGGGTAGGAAAAAACAAGAGGAAACAGGCTACCTTGCATAATGACTTAGCCACTCCCAGTCTCTATTTAAGCCTAAATTAATAGTATCCAATTTGCAAATGAATTCCAATTCAGCAGTTTCTCGCTGGAGTCTGGATTTGAAGTTTTTTTGTTTTAAGATAGCGACCTTCATGTCTGTGATTGCGTGACCAGAGAGATTGAAGTGTTCTCCGACTGGTTTATGAATGTTATAATTCTTGACATCTGATTTGTGTCCATTTATTCTTTTACGTAGAGACTGTCCAGTTTGACCAATGTACATGGCAGAGGGGCATTGCTGGCACATGATGGCATATATCACATTGGTGGATGTGCAGGTGAACGAGCCTCTGATAGTGTGGCTGATGTTATTAGGCCCTGTGATGGTGTCCCCTGAATAGATATGTGGGCACAATTGGCAACGGGCTTTGTTGCAAGGATAAGTTCCTGGGTTAGTGGTTCTGTTGTGTGGTATGTGGTTGTTGGTGAGTATTTGCTTCAGGTTGCGGGGCTGTCTGTAGGCAAGGACTGGCCTGTCTCCCAAGACTTGTGAGAGTGTTGGGTCATCCTTTAGGATAGGTTGTAGATCCTTAATAATGCGTTGGAGGGGTTTTAGTTGGGGGCTGAAGGTGACCGCTAGTGGCGTTCTGTTATTTTCTTTGTTAGGCCTGTCCTGTAGTAGGTAACTTCTGGGAACTCTTCTGGCTCTATCAATCTGTTTCTTTACTTCTGCAGGTGGGTATTGCAGTTGTAAGAAAGCTTGACAGAGATCTTGTAGGTGTTTGTCTCTGTCTGAGGGGTTGGAGCAAATGCGGTTGTATCGCAGAGCTTGGCTGTAGACGATGGATCGTGTGGTGTGGTCGGGGTGAAAGCTGGAGGCATGCAGGTAGGAATAGCGGTCAGTAGGTTTCCGGTATAGGGTGGTGTTTATGTGGCCATTGTTTATTAGCACTGTAGTGTCCAGGAAGTGGATCCCTTGTGTGGACTGGACCAGGCTGAGGTTGGTGGTGGGATGGAAATTGTTGAAATCATGGTGGAATTCCTCAAGGGCTTCTTTTCCATGGGTCCAGATGATGAAGATGTCATCAATATAGCGCGAGTAGGGGCTTTAGGGGACGAGAGCTGAGGAAGCGTTGTTCTAAATCAGCCATAAAAATGTTGGCATACTGTGGGGCCATGCGGGTACCCATAGCAGTGCCGCTGATCTGAAGGTATACATTGTCCCCAAATGTGAAATAGTTATGGGTAAGGACAAAGTCACAAAGTTCAGCCACCAGGTTAGCCGTGACATTATCGGGGATAGTGTTCTTGACGGCTTGTAGTCCATCTTTGTGTGGAATGTTGGTGTAGAGGGCTTCTACATCCATAGTAGCCAGGATGGTGTTATCAGGAAGATCACCGATGGATTGAAGTTTCCTCAGGAAGTCAGTGGTGTCTCGAAGGTAGCTGGGAGTGCTGGTAGCGTAGGGCCTGAGGAGGGAGTCTACATAGCCAGACAATCCTGCTGTCAGGGTGCCAATGCCTGAGATGATGGAGCGCCCAGGATTTCCAGGTTTATGGATCTTGGGTAGTAGATAGAATATCCCAGGTCGGGGTTCCAGGGGTGTGTCTGTGCGGATTTGATCTTGTGCTTTTTCAGAAAGTTTCTTGAGCAAATGCTGTAGTTGCTTTTGGTAACTCTCAGTGGGATCATAGGGTAGTGGCTTGTTATAACATTCATAAACCAGTCGGAGAACACTTCAATCTCTCTGGTCACGCAATCACAGACATGAAGGTCGCTATCTTAAAACAAAAAAACTTCAAATCCAGACTCCAGCGAGAAACTGCTGAATTGGAATTCATTTGCAAATTGGATACTATTAATTTAGGCTTAAATAGAGACTGGGAGTGGCTAAGTCATTATGCAAGGTAGCCTGTTTCCTCTTGTTTTTCCCCTCTCCCCCCCCCCAGATGTTCTGGTTTAACTTGGATTTAAACTTGGAGAGTGGTCAGTTTAGATGAGCTATTACCAGCAGGAGAGTGAGTTTGTGTGTGTATGGGGGTGGGGGGGATGTGAGAAAACCTGGATCTATGCAGGAAATAGCCCGACTTGATTATGTAAAGAGTTGTCACTTTGGATGGGCTAGCACCGGCAGGAGAGTGAATTTGTGTGGGGGGGTGGAGGGTGAGAAAACCTGGATTTGTGCTGGAAATGGCCCACCTGTTGATCACTTTAGATAAGCTATTACCAGCAGGACAGTGGGATGGGAGGAGGTATTGTTTCATATTCTCTGTGTGTATATAAAGTCTGCTGCAGTTTCCACGGTATAACATCTGATGAAGTGAGCTGTAGCTCACGAAAGCTCATGCTCAAATAAATTGGTTAGTCTCTAAGGTGCCACAAGTACTCCTTTTCTTTTCTCTTTAAAATGCGTATGATAATCAAGGTGGGCCATTTCCAGGGGGTGAGAAAACCTGGATTTGTCCTGGAAATGGCCCACCTTGATTATCATACGCATTTTAAAGAGAGTGGTCACTTTGGATGAGCTATTGCCAGCAGGAGAGTGAGTTTGTGTGTGTATGGGGGTGGGGGGTGAGAAAACCTGG